CCTGAAGGCATTTCAGCCGGTTTTGAGTAACTTTTCCTATGAAGTTTCCTCCAACATGGTTGACATTTTTTCTAAGTCCAGGATTTTGTTGACTGAGTGGCTTTTACTCAGTTTGACATTTCTCGTTTACTCAGTTTTTGACATTTCCATACATCGGACGAAAGTGAGTACGATCTACTCACCCGGTGAGTAAGCTGAAGTTAGCGTGTACGCATTTGAAGCTTGTCTCGGCACGCGTGACTGTGTGAGTTACAAACAAATCTGGCAAAATTAAACAGAAGCTGTTGGGCTCACTTATCAACACACTCACATAAGCAAGCAAAGCAGCAACTGCCTTAAAACGAGCACAGATGAGTGTCGTGATTGTCGGGAATGACCAAATCGGTGATGGAACACCACCGAAGACGACATTCACCATTTCAGTGCCAACATTTCAAAGGGGCGTAATTGCATTTGTAAACAATGGCTTTAGTCGTCGATTTCTTGCGAATAAAAGTTCACTCATGAAAAAATAATGACACCAGCAGGTAGATGAATGTTTCCTCTACCAGCTAGCATTGTTATTTTGGAGAGGTAAGATTTCATTCGCGAGAAATTGACGGCTAAAGTCATTGTTTACAAAAGCAATTTCGCCCCTTTGAAATGTTGGCACTGATTTGCTTTTTACTGCTTTCATCAAGGATGGTCATGGAGGGTGCTTCGACAAGCACATTGATAGGAATGTGCCAAGCGTTACTGCCATCATCTGTTTGACGATCGTGATTGTTATAGGTGGCAACTCTGCTTGCCAGACAAGGAACTTTTAGGGAATTTGACTTCTTTTTGATTTTACATTCTTTCGGGGCACTCTTCCGGCCAACCGAGGTATAAAATTCTTTCCCAGGAATTTGATCGAAAACTGGCAGAAGCGGATAGACCGGGATTTCCGTTTCAAGCGACGTGCTTGCTCCGGTGAAGCCATAATGTAAACAAATCGACAGTGAGCATGCATAAGGTCGAATACGCGATTATCGATTCTCTTCATCGATTTTCTCTTTGCATTGCTACAGCTAAGCGAAACTATTTTCTAGAATTTGTTCAATGCAGAGTAGTAACAGGTTGTATTGGCTATCAAAAGCAACAGCAAACGCACCGAGAAACGTTAAATCTAGCGAGTTATTAACAAAAGAGAAAATCGATGAAGAAAATCGATTATCGCGTATAGGCCCTTATGCATGCTCACTGTCGAAATGAACTCATTCTGACAACTAACGCCTATAGTCGCTATATTCATAGTCTGGTGGATAGAATCTCGGGAACAAATTGAGCTGTCAAATAGTGCAACCAATCGAGGCAATCATGACCAACAACAGAAAAGAGCACATCAGCTATTGTGAACAAAGGCTCAAGGCTCGTCTACGCAAACTAACACCATCTTTGGGTTGGGGAAACTTTTCCCTATCCGATGATGTCGGTAATTTGCGTTCGATAGCGAGGAAAGAATAATCAACGTTTAAACGAAAGTTGATAGTACCAGCAACAATCAATACGAAACTAACGATTTTAAATTGGCTCACCACTTTAGTAGCCTATTGGTCCCAAGCAAACGATTAACGTACCCTATTCTAGTTGAAATTCTATTACTACACTATGTTTGTTTTGATTCGCTATGAAAGTTTGGCAGATAACATCAGGGGTGTGTGGATTCATGCAGAACATGCAGGGGTGAGTGAAATAGCTTGGGACTGCTTGGGACCGTTGTTCTGGTACTGAGTGAGCCAAAAATAATAATGATTTTCTTCGGGACCCAGTGGTCTTAGAGTTACCTCTATGGTACCAGGGCGTCACAATATCAGCTTCAATCGACCAAATCGATGCGACGAAGAGACTGCTGGCTTTCTTTTTCTGTTAAAGTCGAACAGCTTCGCAGCATTCTAGAACCTCAGTCGGCGTGCACAAACAAATGTTCAATCGCTTGTCTCTCTTTCTCCCGTCGCTACATTGGTCTACCTTTCATGCTTCGGTGAAACGGATGAGCGAAAGAGCACTCGACTTTGATAGTTTTCTCTTTCATGAAACACATCAACAGAGGTTTCATGACGTATATGACGGAAAATGAAATAACACATTTAAAGCATTTCTCACGTGAAAACACTTGAAGATTACACGTAATATTTTTAATTAATCTTCCATCCATACATTTATCTACAAAATATGATCGAAAACGGGACATAACGCATTTTAAACAAATTGAAAGAGCGGTGATAGAGTGTTCGTGAAAGGGGATTGAAAGCCATAATGAGGTTTCGTTTAACTAGAAAATCGACGTTAGTTACATTGAAAGCGATGAGCAAAGCAACGACGAGAAGTTTCACAGCCAGCCTTTCCTTCTAAGCGTCCTGCTTTTTTTATTTTCGTTTCTTGCTGATAGTCTAGCTAGGCGTTATAGAAATGAAGCGTCGAACACGTATGTATGAGAGAAACAAATCACGAGTTCATTTTAGAGCTTCGAAATTGTAGAGCCCTGGATAGTACATCTTCAATTGGGTTCTTTAAGGGTATTGAGGTAAATGCATATTCGAAATCTGCGTTAAAAATGGAATCCAAACCCAAAATTTCATCAATTTTGGTACACTGGAACTATTTTAAATCAGTACGATTGCATTTGTAAAAATCACCTTATTAGCGCCCCTCGGTGTCATTTTGTATGGGAGCGAGCTGTCAGTTTGCCAGTTTAGCGTCAAACAGTAGAACTTCACTTGCTTTAAATCTTGATTTATAAATCGAGATGAAAGTGTGTGGGTTCGAAAAAAATATCACTGTGCTCAGAAAACAAAGTTCTTTAAGATGATACATAAAAACCGATATATTTTTCAAAATTAAAGAACCCAATTGTTGGTCTACAATATATTGAATTGGTTCCACTTTTTGATAGATCGAAATTATATCCTCCAGACTGTGAATATAGCGACTATACTAACGCCTACTATGATTCTATACACTCTTAGCTTGATTCAATGAAATTTAAAAAAAAAATACTCAAAAATGCCTTAATGGCAGCATTCGTGTGCAACCTTTAATTGCCTGACTTCTATTTATAAAGAATAGGAGCATTTTTGCTTTAATTTAAATTCGCAAGTAAAGTCCGATCGCACCATAGGTGGATAAATTCTGGTATTTTTATCAATACTACAAGTCTTGTTTGGCTTGTGGTAAATGTGTTCATGTTTAGCCAAAACAGGTAGGGGAAACGTGCCTATAGTTGCGGTTCGTTAGAAGCGTTATGTTCCTATAGTTGTACATGGAGACTCAATACACACCTCTAGGAACCTAACGCTTCTAACGTACCGCAACTATAGGAGCGTTTACCTTATTTAAATTTGCGGACGACCGCGAAGTAGACAAATGAATGAATACACTAAATTGAATTTACAATGACATAACATACTGATTGCACTAAGTATAGATTTCTACGCGTTCATGTCTGGAATTAGCTAGTATATTTGTCTGTAATCAAGCGTGATAATGGGCAAAATTTAGAAAAACAATCGAAGTAAAATATGTGTTAAATCGAGGGTGTGTATAATCGATTTGTATATTTGAATATCAGATTTCGGTTTAATTACTCGTTTGCCTTAGTCAACCTTATCACATTCCGCATAATGAACCATCACTAAATTTGTGTTGCACCCCTGTGGTTCGAAAGCTGGCTACGCTGGCTGCAATGATTCATTAAACATATTTCACATATCTTTGATACAAAGTAGGGTTAGCTACCCCATTTCCGGCCTATTGAGCACAATCTGCACTTAGTCTTCCTTAATCTAACGCAGTTTAGCACCAAACGGAATGTTATTATTACTGATGGCTTCCAAATTTATTTACCTTTCCGTACGTACCATAAGATTTGATAAAGAGAAACCAATCGTTGAGATATTTTCAAAAGTCTAACACTGCTTCTTGACGCCAAACTCGGCCTACGGATTCTAAACTCGGCCTAACGCATTGAAACGCCATTGAAACGTCAATGAATTCACTTCGGCCTATCGGATGAAGATAAAAATTGATTCGATCGGAGCGCTTCTTCTGTTTTTGAGAATAATGGGTACAAACCTTCATATCACGCGTTCTCATTGACTTCGTTCGGTAGCTTATTAACTAAAGTATCGTACCAAACGCATAATTGACTTGTTTACTCTGAAATCATGGATTTATTTGATGTTTTCTGCTCGATAGGCCCAAAATGGGCGATTAGGCCGAAGTAGTTCTCTACCCTATGAAGAAACTCTTTGTATTTCCCATTCCCACACCATTTTGAACCTATTTCTTCATCTTCTTCTTTGTATTTCAAGCCTTTTGTTTATCGTATATTAGTTTATTGGGTGCCCTCAACTTAGTGTTCTAGATGCACTTCGACAGTTATCAATTGAGAGCTTTCGATGCCTATACAATTTTTCATTAGTATAATTGTGAGGCAAATACAATCATACTCTTGCCCAGGGGAGTCGAGATATTTTCCAACGCAAAACATTCCTAGACCGGATCGGGAATCGAACCCATTCACCTCCAGCATGGGTTTGCTTTGTAGCTGCGCCTTTGCCGACTGAGCTAAGGGAGGCCCCAACCTAGGATCCCACGGTTTGCATGCTGGCTGTGGCTGTAATAGTTACCAAGAACCCCAACCAGGTTCAACAAACACAACAGTTGACAAACTTTTCTACAAACCGGCATGTGTACATATGGGTAACCTCATGTTGTTTGCAGTTCTTGAAACCAGAACTGCAAGCTTCGGACTGCTTTTGACCGAGGCCTCAAGGTAGCAGTGAAGTTGTTTTTATCCTACAAGCTACGACGACGACGACGACAACCACGTGACAAAATTCAAACACTGGTAACCTTGCTCCGAAAAATAAAACAACCAACGGAACTTTTGATACTACAGCAGGTGTCAGGGTGCTGATTTCAGTACCCATCACAGCTGCGCTCATTCTCCATTCGACAGTCAATTCGTGACAGGCAAGATGCAGCATAGTTTTTTACTTCTGGGAGGGGTGGTTCTGCTGGGTGCGAATCTTCTAGTGCAAGGTAAGGGCGCTGCTAAAAAAATTGAAATGACTTAGTTTTATGAATTTGAATTTTTCAGAAACCGAATCGGCAGCCATAGTCGATCAAGGCAGTGCCCATTTCAAAGCTCAGCAGCAATCCTGCAGTGAGTTGTGCGGGTTCTGTCCGTCCTGCAATGGGTTCTACTGCGGGGAGGAATGCATCTGCGAATGCCAACAGTATGCTAGCGATCGTAAGTATGATTTGAGTGGAAGAGTGAATATTCAGGTTGTGATTGTTACTTTTGTGCAGATGTCCAATGCATCAACAAAATCATGGAAAACAGCGATAAACTGGGATTGGTCTACGACGTTCTAATCCAAATGCCGAGCGGTAGTAGTAGTGGCAATAGGGGCAGTACTGGCACCAGCAGTGCCACACGCTTCTCCCGTAGTGCAGCACCCGGAAAGCACCACAAAGTGATGGACGCAGACGATATTGCCACATTCAGGAAGGTACTGTTCTCAAACTTTAGTCCATCGTCGGATAAATCGGCTACCGATGCTCATTTGACAGGTGATGGAGTTCATCAGGCTGCCGGCACAGTTCGCCCAGATCGGTTTACCGACGAACATTCGGCTCAAGTCCCACCACACCCGTCAACAACGAAAGCGAGGCGAGAAGAAGGGTCAATAGTAAGAAGCGTCGGTGGAAGCGGATGAGATGAAATGACATTTAGTGTTACGGTATTTATTGAGGTGAATAAATTGCATTGTACCTTTAAACGAAAACAATAGGTTAATGAGTTGAGAAACGTCCTAAAAATTCAAGGATTTGTTGTTTTAAATCTTCAGGATTCGTTCCTCAACGTTTTTTTTAATTTTGTATGAATCCACCCGCAGTTTATGCCGAGGGGGGCGACACATCTAAATCTCAATTCTAGATGCTCAACAAATCTCACACTAGCGAATCAATCTTCGAAAAATCTTCAATCATTTATCCCATCTACTTGCATCGCACATCATCTTTTTGCAGGAAATCTTCAGAATCGCCATCAATCTTCTTTCTATCTACTCAGTGTGCATGCAGCTAACCACAGCAAAACACAATTTTTCCTGCATCGTAGATAGAGTCGCCCCCCTCGGTTTATGCTCAACCTCTCATTAAAATACATTATCTAAACATAAGAGCTAAGATTTAAAAATCATCCCCCAGTAGGGGAAGTGCATTCCTATTTTGGCCACACCTCAGAAAACCGATTAAATTACAATATTCGTACATTACCGTATGCGCGGTAATGTTTGCACCTTTGAGCAATGTCAAAATTAAAAAAATTCTCAAAAATTACGTTGCCGAGTTTTTTTTATTTATTCAAAGGGGGATGTTTCTTAGAGTCTTAACCTATGTTAATCATCGATCGAGTTTCCACTTGCTGTAATTCAATTACGGCCTCCACACGCTTCCGGAATACACGGCAGGTTCTAATAATGTAGTCTGGATCTATTCCTCTCCAGGTACGGGTCAATGTTTGTCTGAGGCTTGCTGTATTAGGGTGGCATTTAGAGCGTACCTTGGCCTTCATGACGCGTCATATTGAGTAATCCAGCGGATTAAGATCGGGGCTGGATGGCGGCCACATATCCTTCGCCCAGAACGGAAGACGTTCCTGCAACCACTTCTGAGTGCGGTTCGAGGTGTGGAACGGAGCCCCATCTTGTTGAAATACAACATTTGGCTTCGGACCGTACTGTTCTTTGATCCACGGATGATCATACTTAAAATCCCCATGTAGACCTCCGTATTGACCTTGTCGCCTTCTGGAATGAACACAGGGTCCATTTTTTTTGCCATCGGAAGCCACCAATCCAAACACCATATCGCTAGCAGGATGCTTGGTCAGATACACGTTCTTGTGCTCGTCGGCCACGTCTTTTACCGAAGAGAACTAATATACCGGTCGGAATTTGATACGGGATCGACGGTAAATATGCTCTCGTCGGTGAACACGATTACCGGATTTTTTCGCTTAAGGAAGTTCAAGATTTTCTTCCATCGTTCGACTCGTAGCTCCCGGATGCGGTTGGTAATCATGTGATTTTTTTCCGTGCCCTCGACTTCGCCCCTCAATCTTCCTTCACGATCTTCCGTGCCGTAAAGTCACTGATCCCGTGTTCCTTTGCCATTTTCCTTATTGAACGCACTGGATTCACCCGAATCTTCCTTTTGATAGCAGCGATAACCCTCGGAACCCGAGCTGACATCGGACGACCTTTTCTAGGTCTAAAACCCTTTTGACAGTCCACCGGGACACTCCCACGGCGATTGAAATGTCTTTTTGCGACATTTGCGCGTGGGACAAATCACGAATACGCTGTCACTTCGTCATGGTGCAACTGTCAAACTAAGTGAATCATTTTCTTTTATACACAGCCTACTACGATATGAGCTATAGGTTACGTTCATGCAAAGAAAACCAAGGTATTGTATGCATAGGTGAAACGGGAACCTTATTTGTACGATGGTGGAAACGATGAATATGATTTGTACTAACAAACTGAATGCAACTGAAAATCTCAAAATTGTAAACAACGTGAAATATCGCCAAAATGTGGCCAAAATATGAACATGGCCAATACTGGTGCGTTTACCCTACCAAAATGTTGATAATATTTTTTTGAATGTTTCGAAATCCTAATTTTCGAGCATTCTGCTGAGATTTCAACCTGAATAACTTTACACGGTCTTCGAATACGTCTCAAAATTTGAGTTCCGTTTACTTAAATTCATTGAAACGCAAGTCTAAAATTTTCTTCGATTTTCCTCAAATATCTTCGTGATTATGACGAAAATCAAAGGGTAAGACAGCTGCCAATCATGAACAATTTCAGTTGCAACCTTACACTTACGACGGTCGAATGCTTAGGGTTAACTACCCCATTTTCGGCCTATTAAGCACAACCCGCACTTAGTATTTCTTAATCTAGCGTAGTTTAGCACCAAACGGAATGTTATTAATACAGATGGCTTCCAAATCTATTTACCTTTCCGTACGTACCGCAAGATTTGATAAAAAGAAACAAATTGTTGAGATATTGTTAAAACTCTAACATTGCTTCTTGACGTCGAACGTGGCCTACGGATTCTAAACTCGCCCTAACGCATTGAAACACCATTGAAACGCCAATGAAATTACCTCGGCCTATCGGATGAAGATCAAGATTGATTCGATCAGAGCGCTTCATTTGTATTTGAGAATAATGGGTGCCAACATTCATATCACGCGTTCTTATTGACTTCGTTCGATAGCATTTGAACTAAAGTATCGTACCAAACGCATAAAGGGCGAACACGAAATTATTGCGACACCAAAAAAACGCCAATTTTCTTATAATGTTTAGAATCAAACCAAAATTTTAGGGTAGTTTTATACATATATTTACTTCAAAAATCAAAAGAAAAGTTAATCGATGGAGCCTTGAGTGTAAAATTGAACGCATTTTCGCTTGATGCCCTCCATCAAAGTCTTTACAGTGTCATCCGGTACCAGTTTCTCAGTTTTTTTTTCCATTTTCTTAACATGTCCTTCTCGTCTTTGACTGTCTTCTTGCTCTTCCGAAGTTCCCGCTTCATTATTGCCCAGTACTGCTCCACCGGGCGCAGCTCCAGACAGTTTGGCGGATTCATGTCCTTTGGAACAAAATGGACAGAATTCCCAACAAACAATCGTCTATTGAAGAAACGACTTCTTGGCCATTTTATTCAACTGCATGCTTAATAGTACTTTTTCTATTTTTAATAATAACTTCTGTTCAGGCTTTGTTCACACAAATCTGGAGAATTTATTCAACCACAACATTGAACAAGTAGGTGTTGTATTAAGGTATGTCGAGAAGCTTTTATTCGACTTATATGAGTTATAACAGAGTTCATACGATAATTTTTTTGATTACTCAGCGTTCATTAAACATCACTGCTTCCTTAAAACAGTGATGCTCTGTATAACGCTTGATTCTCATTGAAGTAACGTTTAATTAGACATTATTATACATTTATTGAACGATTATTCAACTGTGGGAAAATTAATCCGAAAATAAGAGGGACGGGGACAGGGAAGGTGTGTTTCTTAAGTGTGGTTTATCCTTTATTTCTGACGTGGCTCGCACCACACAGAATTAGAAAATTTATTAAATACTTATACATGTCGTTGTATGGGATTCGAACCATGTACCTTCCGATCACCAGCCGCTTGCCTTGTCATCTGAGCTATCCTAGAATTCATCATATGGGCAATTCAATAATCAATAAAAGCTTGCATGAAAGTAAATACCTATCAGCACTACCGATCGCAACTCTAGCTCCTTCAAGGCTCTGTGGGAATGATTAATTCATTCATCGTTGTTTAACATGAGACCAATGTTACCTCTTCACCACTCCAATCCCAAGGAAGGAATGCTCGGTTATTTTTTGAACTAGATATATGCATTCATTATCGTGAGTCATGTGATCGATATTACTATTTAAATAAATTATGTTCTACACCAACAAAAAAAAAAGGTTGAGCTTGGGATTGAACTCACGACCTTCTAATTGGAAAGCGGAAACGGTAACCACTACTCTACTGATTTCGCCTTGTTGTAAGACTGAATCAGTGCTGTCGAATAATGAATCTAATACGTCGTTTATAAAGCATTTACAAATCATGTGATTACAACATGGACGCATAGTTGTATAAGAGCTATTATGCATACTGTATTCACCTTTATTCAGTAATATTGTAAAGTAATGCAATGAAATCTAATAAAGGAGCTGGAGAACATTTATTAGACGTCTAATAAAGCATGTTATTAAATCAATTGAAAACAGTCGAATTAAAGTGTCAATGTATGTACAAATTACACTTATTCAGTTTGTTATTAGATCGAACTTCTGGCGTTGAATTGGGAAGACATTTAACACTTTTACAGCACATAATTCGACAACTGTTTTTATTCAGCATTGTACACTGTTATACAGCATTTATTCAATATACATGCTTATTTGTGACTTTGAATTGTTTGTTGGGTTGGCCTCATACCACTCCAGGACACTTTTAGAATAGTGGCATGATGCCAAATCTGTCCAAAATAGCGGAGCTTCATCGTTCTGCTGCAAGAACGGCAAAAGGCGCTTCTCGAGGCACTCAGATTTGTAGATCTCGCCATTTACTGTGCCCTTTGTCACGAAAGGCTCACTCCTCAGTCCGCAAGAGCAGATGGCCTGCCAAATGAGATATTTGGAGGTGAACTTCGACATTTTCTTCTTCTTAAATTTGTCGTCCACATCGAACTTGCTCTTGCCGGTGAAAAACTCCTACCCCGGAATTTGCTTAAAATCGGCTTTTATATACGTTTCGTCGTCCATCACACAGCAGCCATATTTTGTCAGCATCTTCTCGTTGAGCTTCCGTGCCCGAGTTTTAGCCGTCGATTGTTGCCGCTCATCGCGGTTTGGGAAGTTCTGTACCTTGTATGTATGTAGTCCAGCTCTCTTCTTTGCATTCTGGACGTAGCTCTGCGACATGCCGATCTTTTTAGCCAAATCACGGCTTGAGACGTTGGGATTTGCTTTAATCATCCGCTTCACCTTTCCCTCCGTCTTTTTGTTCTCCGGTCCCGGTTTTCTTCCAGCTCCTTTGCCGTGGTCCAACGTCAACCGC